CGATTACAACTTTGGCTCTCTGTCCATTAATGGTCGGCCATGATTTATGATTTATGCGCACATGTGCATGTACATGTACACCATGCGCATCAACGCACGTATACACGAACCACTGCGGACAAATGATTTCCCCACAATGTTTTCACTTAAAAATACTCTTGACAATACTACTGATGTTTTTATCAGGTCTTACGACACACGGTATTGGTTTTTTTTTTATAAATTTGAGAGGTGGTTTTAAAATGGGAAAGACCATGGATATATTTTCTTTTAATTCTGATCTTGTTTGTTATTTTCTCCTTACTTTTTCAGAATTTGTGTAAAATGTTGTGCATATGGGTTCATATTATACCATTGTTTAATGTTGTCTTATCAAGTTTTAGTTATCAGGTTATCTCCGTGAACTTTATTTTTTTTGTATTATGGTGTCCATCCGCAGAAGAAAAAAAACGCCGGGATACTGTCCCACATTGTTTGCTTCGAAATGCTTCGTAATCAAGTGCATATACGTTAACTCTACACTAAGTGGTAAAAAAAAAGCCATGGGAGTGTGTGTGTACGTGAAGTGAGTACCTGAACTGCGGGTCTGCTTCACGCGATTCCATAAAAAATAACTAAATAATGAAGCCACGCGATGTTATTCCTTAATTGAAGAAATATAATGAACGGTAGACGAGTTCGCGGCTTATTATAATATTCTCTTTTAGCTATTAGAAACACTGTTTAAAGGATGAGACCATTCTGAACCAATATCTGGCAAAATACGAAAATACATCCCGATATGATGTTTGCTTGTTTGTTTTTGTCTAACAAACATCAACGGTAAGCGACAACAAAATAATTGGGGTTAATTGGATACGAGTTTATACCAGTCTCTATTTTTTTGCCCATTTTTACTGCAATTATGTTATAGCCAATAATTGACATTGGTGCAAGCATCTTCCTTTTTCGTATCTCGCTGAAATGTTTGAGATGACAATTCTAGCCAGTGACCATTGTTTAATGCACGATTCCCTTTATTGATATTTATAGACCTCGTTACATTATTTTGCATAATGTACATCAGGAATGTTTCTCTCAGTGGTTGCTCTTACTTGCTCCCTATGCGGTAGTTGTTCATAAACAGACAGTGCATCATCATGCTTTGCTCGTTTCGATTGCTCCTCCAAGAATTCTTCTTCGTCCCCTTCTTCATCGTCATTAAGTCAGGTAAATTGGCTATTAAAGCTTCTTTTGACTTCTTTTGAGCGATTAGTCATCAGGTGGTCTCTAGCAACATATGCCAGGCATGTTATTCATTGATTTTAGTTTGTCTTGAGGACTCCATGGTGTTTAGTTTTGAAAAATAAGAATTAAAAAAATATTTTTTTTAATCCGTAGAGAGGCTTTCCCTCACAAACTTGACGTCAAAAACATATCTATCCTTGTGTGAGCCTTGGGTGCACGGTGTGAGAGCGAGAAAGGAAATGAGCAGCAATTTATTATTTTTTTTGCTTGGTTAATTCTATAGCTACGTCAGATCCAGAGCGGTGTTTTGGTGGTTGCTGGGGCAACGGCTAGAGACAGAGTCGTGTTTTGCTGGTACCAAGGCTGAATCCGGGGAATAATTCTGGATCAAGACAATTTATGCAGAAGGACGTGGGGGCGGTTTTGGTCGCTCCTTAAAATGAGCCTTGTGAGGGTTGTTTAGGTTCGAGATTTTTTTGGGTCGGGTTTCAGAGTGTTGTCACCACGTATACAATGAATGAAAAATGGTGTTGTTTTTTAAATTAAAAAAAATCCTCAATGAGGTACCCAAGGGTCTTTTTTTACGTTTTTACAAATTGACAAAAAAATGAAAAAAAAAAAATGTGTGTGTGGGTATGAATGGAAAATGTGTATGGTCCCGGTCCCACATACTCCCACTTCCGTGACTAAACTTCCAAGTACACATGTAAAGGTATTAATTAAGTTGAAGAGTCTAAATTGAATGGAACCCCTTCTCTTGTTGTAAAGTTTAAAATAAGCATACGTGTACATGTAGATTCCACTCTAATCAAGAAAAACACGAACTTGCACAAATTAAATTGCATGTGTCTCCTCTTTTGTTCTCATTTGTGAATTTCAGGAGTAGGGGAAGAAACCCAGAAACGAACATTTCACAGCGGCAGAAATACGGGCACTGGCAGAATTTATAAAAGCAAATACCACCAAACTCTATGGGAAGGCAGGACATTGCCCCAAAAGGGTAAGTGCACGCTTACATTATTGTACACTTTGTGTGGAAATAGTTGAATACCCACTCGTTCCGACTACCCGCTGCTACCTGTAAGTGAGGCTCGTACAGCAAAATAGCCTTTAGGAACTGTGAAGCCAATATATTTTCCTTTGATCCAATACAGTAGGCAAAATTATAAGTGGGGCTAATCAACGTCAAGAAAATTTGCAAGCAGAGGGCTCGAAAAAACCTCACTCATGTGTTTGCATTCCATCATGCGGTAATATATTAGCATCACAGTTAGAGCATGGCTATCTCGCTGCACAGACCTCACTTATAAGTAGCGGTGGGTAGTGGGATCGCGTGCAATACCAGTGTATGAAAGGGGTACAGTAAATCCTCATCTCTGTAATACTGGTAATTATTTTAAAATGTACATTGTATCTGTTCCTTTGCAACACAGGACACTTGCATGTTTACCCAACCTTGGATCCCCCAACAAAGTTTACTAGATCCTTTGTAGAATTAAGATATCATTTTTTTCCGTGGAATCGTTTTAGGATTCAGAATCGGAGGAGTCATCGTCACAAGAATCCTGGCATAGTTACCACAGCGTATAACTGCAGCTTCAAAAAAAAGTTGCGTCAACAATATCAGCAATAGCAAAAACAATAGGAGCAACGACAGCATTGACTCCATAGTGAACAACAGCCCGGACAGCCAAGGGGTCAACAACAGTACTGACAAATTCATTGACACCACCGATAGCAGCAGTAACAGCAACAACACTCAACGACAGCAAAAAGGCTTCATATGTGTAAAATTGAAGAAGAGTTGCTGAAGATCGAGAAAACAAAGGTCGACATCATGAAACAACAGTTAGATGTTCAGCGGGATATCCTAGCATGCTTACAATCTCTGTCAGCATCCCTCATCTCTGATTTGATGCAATAATTGCAGTTTGAATATTGTTGTTCTTGAAATATCTTTTCAGTTGAGAGTTCTTTTAACTGTGTTACGTGATATTTATTACTAAGAATTGGTTGTAAATGTGATTCGAAGCGTTTATGTAATTAAACAAGATCTGGTTTATTCCAATAAAATAATGTATTTGTTCTGGACAAAATGTGTGATGGTCAATTCATTTCCCAATCAAAAAAAATGTGAGCAACCTCTGCCCTTGCAACAGCACCATTTGCATCTGTAGCAACGTCATTATATTCAATGTCGTCTACGTCGGCTGCATCTTCTTCAGGCTCCTCCTAGTCATCTTCAGGGTCAAGATAGATCAATTGTAAAGTTTTATGACCCCACCCCCACTGGTCTTGTTTTGTACACCGCTGATGACGTGCTGGCCCACTACGGTGTAATGCTAGATAATGTCCACCTTGTATTGCACGTAGATATATGGAGCGATTGTTCTACACCGTGCAAACAGAGGAGTTCAATGAGACATTCCTTGGTTTTCGTTTTGACGTGACGCCATTAGGCCCGGTATACTTGTGCAAATGCGCAGTGCCACAAGCAATTTTCCGCGGCCCGTCGTAGAGTTAAGTAAATTAAGAAGTAGTGTTAGGTACGCCCCATTTTTAAAAGAGATACACTGCTTGTTTTTCTGTGCAGAAATTATGTGGCTGAGTAACAAGTCACAGACTTGAGTCCAAGTCATTTTCCAATGTCACTTAAGTGGAGTCCAAGTTACCAAAAGTGCAGCAGCAGAGCCGAAGTCTCCCAACTCAAGACTTACATAGCTGGCCAGGTGACAGTTCCCAATGGCAGTATTTTACGGTGAAATCACATTTGCATGTTCTCTTCTCAACTTGCAAGAAACTCAGCAGCTACCACTGTAAACAAGCTTCACCCTCAGACCCGAAACCCCCATTCATTAAGCAACTATAGGGCACACGCACATGATTATAAGATACCACAAGGCGCTCGATATAGACAACCGTAATAATGTGACACGTTTGGCCTGGCTGGTGAACAAACCAAACTGACTGTGAAGGAAATACATAAAAAAAAATGTGGCAATGCTATGTAGATCCATAGTGCTTCTCCCAATTACGCTAAGTGCTATTGTACATGTGTGGAAAGTTCAAGTGCTTTTGATTCAGAAAATGCCACAAATTCAGTGTTATAGTTCACTCTTCGGTGGGGAAGTTTTTGTTTCTTTTAATCTCACAGAGGAAGGTGGTACCCTTCAAGTGAAAGCAAATGCGATGTTTTCTTGGTCTTGTCATTTCGCTGGTTTAATAGGATTAAGGAAATATTTTTGACAATTTTCTGAAATAAGGGCATTTAGCATGTACACAAGGCTTGAGTAGCGCCTGGTGCTACTGGAAGGTTCAGAAAACACACACACCCAGCCATACCTGTTTACATACAAAGCGTGGACATTCCTTTGTTCTCCTGTGGTTAAGGAAATTCGAGGAAAATGCTCCTTTTTCTCCAACTAGGATAACTCCTTCGAGCTGGATTTTTGATGATGATTTCCTGGAATGTTCCTTTTCATTTTTTTCATGGATAATCTGGATCCAAAATGCCAATGAATTGTTTTTCAGAGATGGGAAAACATTGTGTGGACGTGTGCAAGCCCACATAACGTCATCGTACCCTACACAACCGGTATGTGGACGTTTTTTGTGCATAGGTCCACACTATGTATGCCACGCCAGCACACACACCCACGGTACAATAAAAGTCAAGGGCAGCAAGATCTAGTAATATCTTATTTCAGTTTCAAGTTTTGTTTTCCAGGACAAATTTGGAAAATGTCAGAAACGCACTTACTTCACGTTTTCAGGTTTACAACTAGAGCAAAGTCCAGCGGGGCCAGTAGCCATAACATGCGAGTGTTCAACCCCGAGGCCGTTGGGGATGGAGGACGGAACCATCCGCAACAAGCAAATCTCAGCTTCTTCAAGTAGACGTCGTGGCCTAGCCTCGGCCGGCCGCCTCAACGCCGCCAGCAAATGGTCACCAAATGTGTACGTATTAAAGGGGACAACCAACACTCTAAACTAGGGAACTTTGCTCTTTGCTTGGAAAGGGGTTCGTTTCCTTTCCTGAAACGAATTTCAAGGGATGACAGTTTTGTCTTCAAATGCAAATGTGATAACATGAATGAACCCAATCCCCCTAAAGTAAGGACGAACTTGGTATGTTATACGTATACTATACGTTGCAAAACGTTATTTGTTTTCGCTCCGAGTGGGACAAAAAAGTGGGAGTCTTTTTAGATAAATTTGACAGTAGATCGATACCGTAGAGATCATTAGTTTACACACTTTTGACGCCGAGCACGCTTCTTACGCGCAACAAATTAATTTTGGAACGTAGATATCAGAATAATAAAATCAATGAAAATAATAAATTAGATGGGAAAAGTGTGTGCGATAAATTGCTTGTGCAGAGTATTTTCTTACTGTGCATAGACTCACTAAAACGTCACGCGAATGAGGCCACCCGCCTGGAGAAGAAGTAGTGATGAAATCCTCTGACGAATAATGATTTTCCCAAGGAAGTCGTATAGGTCAATGAATTTTCTGGGTCAAATTTAGGTTTCATTTTGTCGGCGTAGCTGATGCTGAATTATAAAACACCCAGTATGGATGCCTAAAAATAAAGTTTTGATACGCAGGATGTTGTTTGAATCTGTTACCTGGAAATTTATATTCCCCACTAAAATATCTGAAACGTCTTGACCACTCTGTCAGATGTTACGAAAAAAGTAATTAAAATTAAATTCAGAAGGAAACAGTGTAATGAGTACTGTAAACGTGCATACTCGACTATGTCACATGAAAATAAAGTCAGCCTCTGGATATAACAGAGAAGATTTTCATTTTTTAACACTAATAATATTTACAGCTGATACCCCATCGATATGGCACTTACGAGAAATAAATATCAATTTGTGGCAAGCTGGAAATTTCCCGTCAGAATTGTTGCTTGTGCTCCTTTGGAAATTAGTACAGTGCAGGTGTACTGCTTTCCACTGACTCAACAACTTATTAACCGAGACTCTGTTGACTGTTATTCCGCTCAACTTCGCAATGGTTACCCTCTTAAAACTTACACGCCCAGAAAATACTAAACTGAAGGATTCAACACATGAAAATGATGTGGACGAACGCTAGAAGTGTAATAAGTCATGTCAGTGAATGATCGTCACGCCAATACGGGTGATCCACGATAGCGTGCCTCCTAGAGTTTGCAACGTGTTGACCTATCACAATGCGCGAAATATGTCGTTTTCCAAAAACGCATTGGGTCGACAGATTGGCCAATGTGTTGCAAGCTCTTAGGGGCGCGATATTGTGAAATACAAAGTATTATGTGAAATTCAGTTTATATTGCACTGTAAAGAGTGTTTTTACAGGCATGCAGAGTTAAAATAAAGAAAACAAAAATTAAACCCACGAACAGTGGTCAACGGAAAACCGAATTCTTGGGGCTCAATATCTGCCTGGCCTGCGATAGGGTTGAATTATTATGTTTCGTTCACCTTGTAATTAACTTAAGTCGATGTTACGGCGGTATGATTAATGTGTGGGATATCCTTCTGTCACCACAGGCAAATTGTTCCCTTTGTTGAAGTCTGTCTTAAAAGAGTCCCAGATTTTAACGTAATTTTCTCCAATCTGTGCACTTGCAGGGGAAATTCTTTGTAAAGTGCTGTAACAGCAGTTGTTCCATTTTTCCCTCTTCACGTAGCAATGCCAATTCCTGGATTGAAGTGGACCTCACTGAGAGCACAGTAGTATCCGGGGTCATCACACAAGGAGGCCCGAGAGGGTGGGGGTATGTGACAAGGTATAAGGTGTCGTACCAGACAAAATCCTCACCTGACCGCCTTCACGTGACAGATGAAAGGGGGAACATCAAGGTATACACGAAACAGTTTGCCACTGGTCAAGTTTCATGAATGTCATTTGCAGTCTGAGATTCCCATTGTTATTCAGCCGGTTGCTTTTTGTTTTCTTGTTTCTGCGACCGATGCATATTCCAATCCATGGTGTGAATTAGAAAGAAAAGAAAAACGTCATCATGGTTTATTGGGTTACTCAAGTCATCGCACATTGTCAAACAAAAAATATGTATCTGGCAATCGGAGAGATAACTCGGGCAATGTAAGGCTCAAAACACATTAAAAAATGCAAATTTTAAGGACATGACGCAACAACTGTGGTGTATATTTTCAGGTGCACTTTGTCTAGATCCCGATCAGAAGTAAGAGTACATGTGCGACTTGTTTGAAGTTCTTGTGTGGTGTTTAATAAAGATACTGCCTGTATTATGATTATATGCAATTTACTTTTATTTCTTTTCATCTTAGGTGTTCATCGGTAACAATGACGGCAACACACCGGTAACTAACGTATTTAAAGAACGAGTAGAAGCAGTGACAGTGCGCATTCAGCCTACTAAATGGCGTAACGGAGTTTGTCTTCGAATTGAGTTGGTTGGCTGTCGCCGAGGATAATGCCGTGGAAATACCCTTCAGGCACAGCATTCAATACGCTTTGTTACTGGGAAACATACGTCTTCTCTTTACTATAAAACAGTAAACTGGCGAAAGCGCAGCACCAGAATTGACGCTCGTTCCCAGCCTTTTATTTTTTTGGCGGATCACCATTAATGTGCTCTAAAGTCTTATGCTGTAGGCCTATACAAGATTTCAAATTCTATTTTGAACGCAAAATGTACAGTAACCCTCTTACGTTTTCTTTAATTTTAAACACAATATATAATACCATTTGGCGAGCAAAACCATTGATCATGATTACTTCTGACCAAATGTCATTTTCTATATTTTTAGAATCACTTCATTTGAGACCACGACGTTCAGGAAAAAACAGAGATAAAAATTTCAAAAATGTTCTAGGTACCTGTGTCCAAAAACTATCAGCACTCCCCTTCCGTGCTAATAATTTTATCAAAATTTCTATAATGCGGATTTTAACGTGCATTTTTATTCTTACGCGCAAGATCTCTGTACGTGTGGCGGATGATGTAATGGTACCGCCCACAATTCCGTGTGTGATCCGCTCTTGACCTCAAGCCACAATGAATGAAAGGTCATGAATGTTATCGTTGCATGTGCGCGAACGCGGACTATATTTCCAGATATGTTCTCGAGTTTTCTTGTAAGATTTAGTAATGCTAAAAAGTGTATTCACTGGTAGTGCCTTATACCAAGTTCTCGCCCGTAAGAACACCTTGTATTCCTTATTACTGCACAATAGTTCCCATCAACTTTTTCTTTGTTACCATTTTTGAAATGTAGAATTCTCATTAAATTAAAACTTGTTTATTTGTGCCGTATATCAGTGTAATCTTGTTTGATTTCTTTGTTGCATCGGAAAAAAATCAAGCTTTGGTATAATTACTGTACATAGGTAGTTTGGAGCTTTTCGGGTAATAACAAATTGGGGGCGAGTAGTAGTAAAAGAAGAGAACTGGAACAATTTTATCCGGCGTCGTCGCTTTGCTCCGCTACTTTGTTCCGACGCCAGATGAAAGTTTGTCCAGTTCTCTCCTTTTACTAGTACTACTATCTGATTTTGGTAACCAATCCAAAATATCACCTTCTCTCTAGAGTATTTTGTTGTGTTTTGTTACTTGTTATGCTATTCTAGTGATGGTAACGTCGCCATGGGTTCAAGAGATCTCTTGCATTTGGCTAATTCCATGCCATTTGGAGCAGTTTTGCTCCACTAGTTATTTTGAAGTCAAGATTCAAAATTGACAGCCTTCATAGAGAGAGGCCATCTTGTATATATAGTAGTTTCTAACTGCAGTGCTGAACTTTGGGCTGGCGACAGTGACTACAAGCAACAACAAGGGCCAAAACCAGTAAGAACTTCTTTCTGTATTCTCTTCTTCTTTTTTTTAGCTCTACTCGGCTATGACGACTTTGGTGAAGCAGGAGCTACAGTGCTAGACTGTGCCTCAGAACCCGACTTGTCCTTTTCATTATATTTGTGGAAAGCCTTGGATTGGAAATTAGGTTAGCTGGTACTGAATTTGTGAGTTAATTTATAATCATCAGCAGCAATTGCCGGTTTCTTCACTTTAGTGATGTAATGTTCTTTCATCGCACTATTTTTGAACTCCTCCAAAAGTACAACTTCTGTCAACTCATCAAATTTCTTCTCAATACCATCGGTCAAAACAATTTCCTTCTGTCTAGCAAATTCTACAAAGGTCTGGCCGTGTGATCTAATCCTTTTTCTGCAAAATTTCTGCCCATAGGCTTCAGGAACCAATTCATAAGCAGTCAAAAAAGCTGCTTTAACAGTAGCATATTCACTATACTGTTCCCCCGAAAGTGTGGCGTAGACTTTTTAGCCTTACCTACAAATGCGCTTTACAAAAACAAAGGCCAGTATTTCTCAGGCCAATCAAGCTTTTTGGCAGTTTTTTTCAATAGACAGGAAATACATGTCTGCGTTGTTAAAATACGCGAGTCGCAGGTTAACCTACAAAACTGAGAAACACGACCAAATTAGAAGGCTGGCAGACTCTAAATTAAACATGATCGAGGAATACGCCTCTAACGCCATTAAGACAGTGACGTGTCTCAAGAAGAATATGTATGAATATTGTCCAAACTTAGGCACTTTAATGAAATGAAAGAAGGTTTGGTCAAAGGCCAGAACAAAATTGCAAGAAGGCAAATTACAGAGCAAAGAAGAATTTGACCGCCAAGTGCAAGAGATAGCGTAGGCCATAGCTTCAGATTTAACCAAAAACTCTTATGAAAAACCTTTGCAAATAACTTTAACAGCGAACAAGTCTACCAAGTATTCGACAGAACATGAACCACCTCCGCCTTACAAACAAGTAAAACCCACCGCCCCTCCTCTTAAAAAAATCTTCATTTGAAAGCTTTATTTCAAAAACAAATGGGAACCAACTTTAGTCACTTAGCGATCGTAGTCAATAAAGACAACTGGTTTTCTGCCGAGTTTCCGAATTTGACCTCGGCTTATAAATAACCGAGAGTTATGTTCTACCAAGCGCCTGCCTTGCTCTACTCGCTTAGGGTTTTATTCTTGGTGACTGTCTGAACTTGAGGTTTGACCGGACTCGGTGGTGGAACCGGTGGTAATTGCTCCTTTGTTGCCTCTGTTTCCATCGTCTTTTACAATAGACGTATTTTTATTAAATTAATAGCCAAGTGTTTTGTTGTAATTAATGGTGCAACTGGTGGCGGCAAATAGGCACCGTATTTATAAAAAAAATGCGGGGCAAACGAGCCATAGTCTGAGTGATAATAGGATCGTCATTAAAGTTTTTGTTCAAGTCATCTTCTGATTTTAATTCGACGTTGAACCCTAAGGCCTACGGGTTTAGCAATGCCTAAAAGACGAGCGTATAGACTTAATATCGAATTGCCCAAAGTTTTGACGATTTCTTTTTCCGAATCAAAGTCCGTACAGGTTAAAGCAAAATTCAGTGGGTCCTACTGTGTAAAAAAGAAACTCAACGATGCCAATTATGTTATCAGTACCCCAGATCAAGGAAAAAGCCAGAGTGTCTGTCATGTGAACATGACAAGAAATATTATGAGCGGGATAATTCTGGCCAACCCATGGGAATGAGTTTCTGGCTGTCCAGCTTTCAAATTCAGAAATTTTTTGCCAACTGAGACAAAAATCCTGAGCATTCGAGCGATGACCTTTTGATAGATTTGTCAGGCTTGTTTCAACTGTACAACAAGTTTGTTCTGATAAACTTGGCCACACATCAATGACGGTTTGTGATGTTGATGTGGGAAATACAAGACCTATAAAGCAGACACCGTATTGACTTAACCCAGACAAATTATCCAAGGCTCGAGAAGAAATTAAGTTCATGTTGGAGCATGGCATTATAGAACCTAGTCAGAGCTCATGGAGTTCTCCCATTGTCATGGTAACAAAGCCCGATGGTACTCTAAGGTTTTGCATAGATTATCAAAAGGTCAATGCAGTAAGAATGATTCATATCCTATTCCTAGGTTGGAAGACTGCATCGATAGAGTGGAAAATTCTGCATTTTTTTAGTAAAATAGACTTGTTAAAAGGCTATTGGCAAGTGCCCTTGACTAACAGAGCCAAAGAAATTCTGCATTCGTGACACCAGATGGTGTGTAGCAATGCCTTTTGGGATAAAAACGCCCTAGCTACATTTTAGAGAATGATGAGTCAAATTATTGATGGGCTAAAAATTTGTGTTGTCTACGTTGACGATATTTTGGTGCAAGTGTATTTAAGAAATTTACCCAATGAGGGAAATCTGAGGAAGAATTGTAGACTGCAAAATAAAAAAAAAAACAAAAACAAAAACAAAAAAAAAACAAAAAACAAAAAAAAGCGAAATACACACACGCACCCTTACACGGCTATACTTTTTGGGGGTATTTCCTTTGTTTTCGTGTACAAAACTTCCACACAACATGCAAACAAATTCAAATCACTCTGATTTAAACCAAATTCACTTTCCTGGGTTGAAATTTCGACCGTATGTCCCTTATATATAAAACTTCAATTTGCGGCACATTTTTACCCATCAAAAATTTCCCCATTTTGAGTTATTTCCAAATATCAGTTTCGTGGAATTTTTGTGGGGTGCCATTTTGGTACACCACAAGGTAAAAACTGGCCTTGTGGGGTACTTCCCCTTGTTCCGGTACTCCACAAGGCCCCATGTATAAGCGCGCACACACACATGTACACACCGCAAGAGAGATTTTGGCAGGCAATTTTACCTTACGCAAGCTATGAGAAGTCTTTGACTTCTTGACTTATGCACCATTTTAATCTGTGGTGGCGAGTTGTCTGTGGAGCGACACTTGTAAGAGAAGCTCGTCCATACCAAGTGAAGTGCAGAGCTGAATTTTGTTCCGGAAGTGACAGTTTGTGAACTTAATCCAGTTCCAATTTGTGGTTATATGTGTGTTTAGGGAATGGGCGTAATCATACAAGTCACCTGTACGTCTAAGTTTGGTGGAGTGGAGTACGGCCGCCACCATGAATTTTGTTTTACATCACATTAAGGTTACGTGAAATGTATTTTATGGCCAAGAAAATAAGGAAAACCGGTCTGTAGAAGCAAGGTTTAAGGAATAATCGGTCGATGTTATCCCCTTTGCTAATGAGAGGGGGGGTCCAAGGATTATTCCAAAAAGATGCCGTGAATTATTATTATTATTTTTGTTTTACAAGGACCGGATGAGATATGTTATCAGCATTGACAGGGCCACTGTTGCACACTCTTTTCTTACCGTTTGATTTAATACAGCGGGACGAGCGGTCTGTTTGCTGATGTACTTGAATACTTTTTTGTGACCAGCATGGAGAAATTATTCATTTGATGTCGCTTTTGATACACTGGTATAGATACCAGCGTTTGTGCAGATGAGAATTTCCTAGAAAGTGTGTGTGAAATTTGCTTAATTTTCAGTGTACAATCCTTAACTAGGTAGTCATCACTGGTCTCATGCAAGGTCACGAAAGTGGGTGTGTAACACTTGTCAACACGTAACTCGCCCGTGGGCCCATTAGGCTGGTGTCTTCCAGAGAGCAGGAGTTTTAAAACTCCACATCCGGAGCTTGGCGACGCAAGGGTTCGTTTGTGTATATTTGTGGTTTGTGCTTCTAGTTCACTAAATGATTTAACTCATTGTTTAATGTATGCCAGTGATATTATGCCCTCCCACCTGTCTTTTTCCTCCTTTGTATTGGGGAAAACAAAGCATATTTTCTGGGCCTTTTTCCGCACTTCATCAGTCACCTTTTCTGGTTCTTTCATATTTTTTGTTGCAACTGATGGCAAATCCAGTGTATGATCGGAGTAGGCAGATTACAAATAGTTTTTTTTTCTGGTGTGGGACTCCATGCATAACCGATATTTCTTAATTTTGTTCCTCAAGGAGTTCCATTAGGATTTGAATGTTCTCGGCACCTAGTAGCGACAAACTTCGTCCATACTAGGTCACCCTTGTTATTCTTATGTTTTTATATGCAATGAAGGGTTTGGTTGGGAAGAGCGCACTGAAATATTCATTAAGGTCGATTAACTCCCATATGTTTTTTAGGAGGACCTGTTTTGATGCTGAATGTAGCACTTGTGGGTAGTAGGGTAAGACAAAGACAAGCGGAGTCTCGTTTGCTTCTTTTTAGCCCGTCTGCTCAAGTTCTTGTGAGTTTCGCCTTTCTGAGGGAGAAGGGTCATGTCTTGGTGGGAGTATCCGCCTTTTATGAGTTTGTCTCTGAAGAATTCAACCTTCTCCTCAAAATGTATAGAGTCTGTGCAGATACGCTCATATCTCGCAACTTCTTCCTTAATTAATCCGCTAAATACTGACTTAGGGTGGGTTNGAATCTCGAGCAAGATACTGAAATATATCCGTTTTGTTGGGAGCTACCGGAGTGTCCAGTCTCACCTCTGTTCTAAATCGTTCGCCTTTGTATATGACAAGATCGAGGAAAGTCACTAAATAGTGCAAAATCTCTGACGTGACCTTAAGCGTAGGGTGAATTTGATTTAGGGCATTAGCGAGTTCACCGGCTTTGTCTTCCCTACCGTTGAATATTATAAGGACATCGTCTCTGTAATTCATATAGGCCACAATTGAATGATTGCGAGGAAGAGAGACTTTATTTCTCATACTTGTACAGGGTTATATCGCATATTTTGGGACTGCACTCGCTTCCAATTGTCACGCCAATTTTCTTTCTAAAAAACGTGCCATTGAGTTCCAATATGTTCTGATGCATGATAAGTTCTAACAGACAGCGTTCGTGTGCTCTGATTGGTTTAAGTAAGGCGTACAGTTTGCTGTCGGCTTCTTCAAGGGCATCGCCAACTGATATTATTGCTTTTTCTTGTGGGCAGTTCGTATACATGGAAACAATATCCAACGCGATAAGAAGGCTATCTTGCTTCACTGTCACTTGGTTCAGTTTATTAAGCACATGCGCAGCTAGAATTGCGTGTATTATGTGCTTTGTTGTTTGACATTTGGAAGCAAGAAGTAGTGCATATATTTTATATTGATTGAGTTGGACCTCCGCAACATATAGCCAAGATCCTTTTACAATTTGTGGTAGAATTGACGGTAATGATAAAGCGTCAGTCCAGAATACCACAACACTTTTGCTTTTGAATGTGGAAATTTAATAGCATGGTAATAGAGATGACAACAAAGTAGCCTTTAAATGGCTTGTAAAAAATCAGATTTGATTCGGAAACAGTCGCATGATTACAAGGACAAGATAAAAACAAGTTTTGCGTTGTGACAAAAGCATGATAAAGCTGGATACTGAAATAATAATACCAGATTGGATTTCAACTTGCATAAATTTATTCCAAGCAGTATTATATTTGGGTTCCTTGATAAAAGCCTGGGTCGCAAATCGGCCAGCTGCAATGTTGCAAAAGTGCTATCAAGATTTGATTCAAATTGAATTTTCTTCAAAAACAAACAACTTGTCCATGCACTTTAGTTTGCACAAAATCGCAAGTCCAAACCTAATTTAAAGCCGGAGCATGTATGTTATCAGTAACATTTATTGAGCAGGGGAGCCTTTACGGGTAAAGGCGAGACCCCAAGAATATATAGTCCTATTCCCTTCTTAAACAAACATAACTGTCCCTTACGTTGGGTCAGATAACAACTGTGATCAGAACATAAAGTCTGATGTCTTATTTAAGGGCTGTAATGGGTGTATTGCTATTATGTTTTTTTTTTTCCGGGAAGTGTTCAAACTTGCGCAAAAAGTAGCAACAAACATTCAAAACCTACCAAAATGAAGATAGATCAGATGCCATCTATTGTAAACTGCCTGAATATTGAGGGTTTATTATTTACAATCAAGGGAGGATGGGAACCTAATTGAATGCACGCCTTTGATTGAAACCAAGATTTTGACGATTTTGGTAAAGCAACACTAAATACTGCGTTTTTTTATTTCCGTTATTTGCTAGTTTCTTAAGTGACGCATGGGTAATTACAAACCTACAGAATAAATGTGAAATCGGGTTTGAATTTATACGAACTACCGTGTAATGGGTATTGTGTTTTGTCCATACAATAGACCCATCATACCGTTCGTTTTCTTTTTCCATTTTTCTTTTTTTTTGATTTGAAATGGGTCATTTCAATGTTCAATACATTTAGCGCAATTGGGGCCTCAAGTCTCAGTTAAACATTTGATATCAATATCTTGATGGCTGAGTAATGATATTCAGAGTAGCCTGTGAAAAAACACAATGATATCGACCGGAATTTGTATTGTGAACATGTAATTTTGATTTTTCGGTCGTGAGAAAATCGTACAGACATAACTAATCTCAAAACGCCTTTTATAAATGTCCTATGTCTGATACACCTTTTAAAATCTTATTCCTTTTTATATTTGCCATCTTTGCCTTTGTCAAAGAGGCACTTCCAACCAAAACGGCATCCAGACACGCTGACCCCAAAAATTGCAACCACAACCACACCAATGAGGAGGTAAACATCTAAAAGATACCTCTGAACCACGTTCAGCTCCATAACGGCGGGTCGCAGGTGCTCGCCGCCGAGCCTGGTTACGTGTAGGATCCAGCGAACCATGTTGTCTATCGGGTTCTCGGTGCCCTGCAGGTCGCGCATGATCTTCGAGATGCGTTGTGCATTCTCTCGGAATCTGGAGATATTTGCACAAAGTAAATATGTAAACAACCACCCATACTGGAGGCTTAGTATTGTCTGTTTTCTACCCAATGAGTTGTTACTCATCAGACCTCCATAAATTCTCTAACAAAACAGACTGTAGCAATATTAATCTGTGCTTGCTGGAATAAAGAACGCATATACGGTATCATTTAGCGTTCACAATGTAATTTGTGGCATTCTAAGGTCCATAGAGAGAGTTGATTTTCGAACGATTTGGCAAATTTTACTGTCATTATTGGACGTTGAATCGGTTAGTCAGTGATTTCTGTCCCTTTATATTGACATCATTTCTTACCTTGGTTCTTCCATGACTCTACGGATAGTTCCACTCAAAGTCTCCTGTGTAAGGGTTGTTATGTCCAGCCTCAGGCCAGCTCCTTGAGCTTCGATACGGTTGATGTTTTCCCCTTGATCCAAGAGGAAAGGCATCCCCACAATCGGCAGTCCGTTCCACAATGCCTCATTTTTACTGAACGCACCGCAGTGGGTTAAAAGCATTCTGACGTTAACGTGTTCTGTTGAGGTGAAGATATGAGCTGGCCTCAATTTCATCTGGCATGGGTTTGCCCCAAACCGTGAAAAGGCCCTGCGTATACTCCTTCGTCGATACTGGGTCCTGCCTGGATCGTAGGGAATCGTGTATATCTGCACTTTGCCCCAAGCACATGTGACTGAACAATGAACTTGCCAGTCTAGCTATTTCGTGGCATACACAAGCGTTTATCCACTACGAACACAGGGCGGGAGTTCCCCTCGTTTTCACTGTTTCCTTCTCAATCTACATTTGGAATTCGAATCTTGGCATGAATAGAAAGAAGCCCTTTCTGGCTTGTTATAGTTGAGCTCTGAGGGCAAATGGCACTGCGTTCGATTTAGATGCCTCCACTGAACTGATAAAATCAGAGAAAAACATGTTCTCCTTAGAAGGTCTTTTTAAAACGTTGCTATATGCCTGTTGAAACTGCAGCTACCAGTCCCTCTAAAATAGGAACAGGGCCAGTAAGTCTCTGTGACACCATTGTAATGTGTAAGTTTGTAATGTGTAAGTTAAGCCAAAATTTGTCAAAGTGGGTATAACTATAAGCTAACGGAAGCAACACTTTTTTCCTGAAAACAGTGGAAAGGCAAAGTTCCTGCAAATAGCATCCCGAGGAGAGTTAGTAGCGTCAGTGGTGAAGGTACAGGCGTAATTTCAACTCATTTAATGTAGTGGGTGCCAACGGATAAAACTGTAACCTAATCGTCAGTCGTCCCTACGTGAGACAGGGCCCATCGTCGAAAAACGAGTGTACGCAGAGACCATGTTTGGTCAAAGTAAAATAATCAGGGCAAGATCAGTATCCAACGTGTCCATTTCCCTGCACTGGTATTGGGTTTACAGTCAAAATGAAAATAAATAAATAAAACAGGAAAAATAATGATGTTCAAAACATCCGTCCAACTGAATGAAATCTCTGCATGCAGATCACGCCAATCAAAAGACAATGACACACACAAAATCCTTATCTTCAGTTCATGCATGCAAGCTGACACGGTGGCTAGTTTACAATATTCTGTTCATCCATCTTGGACGATCAATTGTCTATATCTGAACTATTGGGTGTCTGGCCACTTCTCAAAAATGAAATGTATGTAAGGTATTTTCGAAAAGCTAAAGCTTCTAATGCATAGTAAATAAAGGAGAAAAAGGCATGTGTATCAGTGTCATTGATATACATGAATATCGCTGTCATCCATTGTCATCAATTTTCAGACAGATGTAGCCTTCGGTGAAGACATAATACAAGAACTGTATGCACAACATGCGCCAGAATTCCTCTGAGCAAGAGCACCTTAAGCAACTCGTTTTCCGAGTCTTACATCCATTTAGGTAACTATCGTGGCTTCACAAATCATGGAATAAGATGGTAGGGAACGATGCCGACACAATCCGAATCCGAAGTGGTCTGCCATGACATGATAAGACAAATCCCAGTAATTTCCCACGTTTACAACTGTTGCAAAATATGACACAACAATGGCTTCATCTTTTGTCACAAAAAGTGTCCCATTTGCCAGAAAAGCTTGAACTGTTCGTTTTAATACGATAACGTAAAACTCTCAGGTTTCCCACTGCACCAGGGTTTAAGACACAGTCTGCACATACTGTTGATCTGCAGCCAAGAGACCCTAATTCTGCAAGGTTACGACGGTTTAAGGAGTGTCGTTCCTTAAAGCGTTTTTTTTCTTCTATAACGATGAGTACCCTTCCGTTCGTTTGAGAACTACACATAGCTTAAGTCAGAAAACTTTGTAACCATTTACTCAAATTCACGGCATTCACTTTGTTGCTGAAGTGTAACTCTCCCAAAATGCAATGGTATTAGTTTACACTTAGATGGGTTCAATAACTGTTTCTTTCCTATAAACTGCTGACAATAAGCAGGTCATTCATATACAAGTACACAAAAAGGTAGTTCGGGCGGGACTTGGCTGATTAATATTTGAAATGTCTAAGAGGCATTTCTAAGACCGCAGGGCATTCTAAACGGCGCAGTTATGGCCGTCTTTGAAATATCACTAGGCTCTACTGCAATCTGGTAATGTGCTTTAACAACATAAATTTTTGAAAATACCGTTTTTCCACTCAATGATACGGTGAAATCGTGAATATGTGGGATTTGGTACTGATTGGAAATGGTATGACTAATAAGAGCAAGGTTATCGTTGCAAGGGCGCCAATCTTTTTTTTTCGGCACCATATGAAATGGTGAAGCCCAACTACTTTGTGATGCCCGGTATATGCCTGGTTTGAGCATGTGATCAAATTCTTTATACCCAGCAAGAAATGAGACCAAGGGGTACCCCCCCCCACATGTCCAATCCCTCTACACATTCCAGGCTTTTGCTACTTAACCCATCCCCCAAGATGTCTGAAAGGATTTCCCCAGATTCCTGCGAGACAATGACCAACACAAAGCAGGGGGAGGGTCTCTCCGTCTCATACCTTGCTGCATATGAAATTCTTATTCAGACTTTCAAGCGGCCTGGTGCTAAACCACGAGGTCGTGCACTTACAGGTGGTCATTAAGTGCAAATGTGGCGTGTTACATCATGGTTAACAGTAATACAGAGTATTGCGGCTTTGTGATATTGGGATACCTATTATACGGGGATTCACTAGCTTCTTTGCTAAACGACGGGCTAGTTGTGGGATTTGAATAAAACCCCGAGGTTAACAATGACGTAGTTGAGTCAACAAGCCTACGGTGTTTAATTAATGTCTACAAGCAATACAAAGTTGTTCAAAAAATCTGCACCCAATATAGGTTGACTTTCATCGGTTAAAATGAATATCCATCTAAAAGTTCGTCTTAATCCCAAATTTAAGGTCTTGGATTTTTCACCAAATGTCATGATTGGTGTCTTATTGGCAGTTTGGAGAGTGAATTTAGTCATTTTGTTGTCAGATGGGTGAAGTTGGGAAGACACTCACATCAACGCCAATATCAAACCAAAATTTTGTGCCGGTAAATTTGTAACACATGCGACGACTTATTCGTTGCTTGTTATGCAATATTGCCGCGTCTCATTGCTGGCGCTGTCGTTTTCCTGCTGTTGTGAATATGTGTAGGGTTGGTTACATTTTTGGCTTTTTCACCGTATCGCCAGTGATACCAACAATTATCACCTTCATGAGATGTCGTTGCTAGGGATCTAGTACTAGAGTCCTTAGAATGACTTTTGCAACTTCCTGTTCCAGACCGGGTTTGGGGTCTTCTGCGTATCTGATTAGCAAGTGTGTCGACACGATGTGTCAAATGTTCTACCATTTTACGTAGTTTGGACATTTCTGATAACTACTGGCGTCGGCGGCTGCAGCAACTGATGCTACGACACTTAAAGAGAAAGTAATTTCAAGGATTCTGTCCGCCAGATATCGCGAGATATAGTGCTTTAAGTAGTGACATTTTAATGTCACGTGACTAGATGACGCCATACTCACATCGGGTCAATCTGTGTCTGAAACCTTTCCCTTTCCAGATACAGATAAAGTTTCAATCCAATCAGACATGTACTTCACGAGATATAATGCTTTGATGAGTGCCGCTTTAATGCCACGTAGCCTGTCACCTGAAGACGTCATAATCACATCAGGTAAGTGTAGATCTAAAATCCTTCCCCTTTGAGCTATGTAAAAAGTTTGAATCCAATCGGACATGTACTTCACGAGATACAGTGCTTTGAAGAGTGCCCTTGTAATGTCACATGACTTTTCACCTGATGATGTCATCATCACATCAGGTCAGTTGTGTTGTAAAACCCCTCATCTTCGAGGTATACAGAGAGTTTCAATCAAATTGGACATGTACTTTACGAGACACAGCACTTTCAGGAGTGCCACTTTAATATCACGTGACTTGTCATCAATGTGTTTGCCCCTGACACGAATTCAGATCGCTAACAGTGTAAAAGCAGTCTTCGAATTATCCTGCTGAAAAACATGTAACGAGAGGTTATCTGTCTGTTTGCTAACAGAACAGAGGGCATTTTCAAATTCTTTTGTACATTTGAACGACTAAGGCATCATCACATCAAGTCATTTTTCGTATATAACACCTCTCTTTCAAGTAATATGAAAGTTTTAACCTGATAGAACATGTGCTTCAGGAAATATAGGGCTTTAAAAAGTGCACTTTTAATGTCACGTGACTTGTCTCCTGATGACATCATCATCAGATAAGGTCAACATACCTCTAAAACACTCCCTGTTCAAGATATCTACAAGATTTGAACCCGATCAGATATGAACTTCAGGAGATATGGACCTTAAAGAGTGCACCTTTAATGTCACGTGACTTGTCTCTTGATGAAGTCATTGTCACACGAGGTCAAATTTCCTCCAAAGCACTCCCTTTTCAAGATATCTGTAAGATTTGAACCAAATTGGATATACACTCTACAACATATAGTACTTAAAATGAGGCATCATTTAATGTCACGTGATTCGTCTGCATATGGTATTGTCATCACGTGAGGTCAATTTCCGTTTGTAAACTTTCCCTTCCTAACTGCATGCAAGGTTTCAGCCCAATAAGGCATGTACAATAGAACATACAATACAAAACATCAATACTTATCGCGGAAAAGGCACAGGTTAGATATCTTAAACATCTGTCCCATTTGGCGTTCCATACAATGCGATCTGCTCTCGGCAGCACGTGGTCGGCATTTTGCCAAGTTCCGAGTCTAGCATATACCCTACGCACTCTGCGGCGTCTATGTTGCAGGCAGATATTGGGCGTCTGAATACACACACAGTAGCATATGCACAGCACTGTGCGAAATGTGATTTCCGAGTTGGCAATTTATATTGTAAGGGGGTTTTGTCGGCGGCGCTTCATGGGTGTGAAAAAGTACACCAGTTATGCATTTCATGCAGCTGACTCCAATGTTTTACCTATTATGTCATGCACAATTCACGCTAAT